CCTGCATACCCCACCAACACGGCTACTCTACTGTGCCTATGTGGTAAGTTTCCTCTGCCCTCACCCTGTGATACACATTGAATGTCGACATTGTAGTGCATGGAACAAGGCAATGGACTAAGTCTGAAGGTCAGAGATATTCTCTGTATCATAGAGACAGGCCAACACTATGAAAGAGAGGCCCAGTTATGGCTCCCAGATGGCTGGAATGGGGTTGTGGGGTGTGGAAGGGCTGTGTGGACTTCAGTCAGAGCCTCTGAAGTTGCCCTGGATGGTGACATTCAGAGGCTAGTGATGGGGCCTGGGGTGTAATTCATAGGTGGATTTTTATGGCTTGGGATCAGTCCTCATCACTGCAAAAAATAAAACAGCCGCAGAAGTCAGTGACATTTGGTGACCTGCTTAAACACACACACACACACACACACACACACACACACACACACACACACAGCCCAAAAAACAAAAAACACTAAAACCATCCCCCAAAATCCAGAGAGCTGGAAATGAACACCTAGGGTCTGTCAGTGTCATCAGAGGCAAGGGGTGAGGCTGGGTCCTGCAGGTGAGCTTTCAAGGGCAGCTCTACTCCTGGGCCCCACCGAGAGGGACCTGCCATGCACATCAATGCCAAATGCAAGATAATACAGCCTTGCGGACACTGAGGAGGGCCCAGGGCCCTGTCCACTGCCTCCCTTTGGCATGCAGGGTATACAGAAATGGTTACCAGTCACCCAGCCTAGATCTTGTGTTGAGCAGACCCATGCACCACGTGTCCCGGAGCAGAAGCTCCAATCACATACACTTCCGGCAGTGTACCTATGCTGGCCATCTTCTATCTTGAAGTTTTCCAGACAAGTCCTAGGCAGTGTGTTCATCTCTATAGCAGCTGCCCTTGCCCATACACACCGAAGTTTGGGTTGCTTGTGACTAAATAAAACTTTATTTACATAGTTTCTTATGACTTTTTTCATGGCATCTAGCCTTGTGCCAACTTGCTTAAGACCCGTGGAAATGTGCCTGTCCTGGGGAGGAATGTCAAGAGCTCTTTTTTTCCATAGGTCCCACAGGGTATGTATGTAGTCTTTCCCAGTCTGACCTGGAATGTCCCTGAGACTGAACAGGAAACACTGTTCTGGCCTGTCCTGGAAGTGTGCTGTCATGGAAGAAGGGACAGGTCTGTGACCATGCATCGGGGCAAGGGCTGCAAGCGTCCACAAACAGCCCTGGCACCAGCAGCTCCCTGCGCTGCCTGGAGTTGTATGTAGTACTAGACAGGCAATGTCTGAGGTTTCCGTTAAGTAACCTCTGCCTATCTCTATGGAATATATGCCCTGGGAAAGTGAGGCAGACATAAATGAGACGATCTATAGCGTATCTGGGCCCTTTATGATTTTGTGTGCCTGGCATCAGTCCTCAGGGGGCCTCACAATTTAGTATACTTGTTGTTGATCCTCCTTGGTAGTATATGTGGCTTGTAGCATATTCCTCTTTTTGGGGTCTCACTAAACAGACTGCTTCAGCCTCCCCAGCGCTTGGGTTACATCTACCATGACCAGCCAGCATGTTGGGGGCTGAAAGGTAGCAGACTATGGTCCTCTGCGCCAGCATTCCTCTGGGATTCCAGACTGCTCCTTGCTACCCCATGACCGTTGTTTCTGCTCACCAGCTGCCTCTCCATTGCAGCTGGGTCTCCTGAAGATGAGAGGTGTGGATGAGGGCACGGTGGACAGTTTAGCCCAGAGTGTGGCCGGATAGTTGTTTTCATTTCTATAACCATGGACTTTGTGGACATGCATCTCTCTTCCCCGGTACCTCCGTGTCTGGTGCTTGCCACACACAGCTGGCACACTCACGTGGACCTGAAGGTTTCACACCTATGCAGCTGTACCTTGACTGTTCCTCAGCTGTTCCTTGGCTGTCCCTCACGACTGTCCCCCCGTTGTCCTCGGCTGTACCACACCTCTCCCAGCTGCCTTTCCTGACTTCTGTTTGGTACTTTCTAAACAGGTGGTCCCCTGACTTCTACCTGCTACTTCCTGGGAGGCTATACCCCCACACTCCCACCAGCACCCTTATCTTCAACCTCTGTGCCAAATCTCCTATAGACTTTATCCTAACACCTCCAGCTAAAACATGTTGGCCCCTTGAAGGCCACATTCCCCACAAAGTATTGCAGCTCAGAATATTCGCTCAAGGGCACCTCTTCCCTCACAAGCCCTCACAAGGGGAGTGTCAGGGTCTCCTGGCCTCTTTCCCTCCTCAATGGCCTCCAGGCTACTCACTTGCATCTACAGTAGTCTCTGCCCTCCTCTTTGCCCCCCAGCCTATACCGGGCAGAGTGGAATATTCTGTTTCTTTGCTTGGCACCTGTCCTGTTTGTTCATTATTGCCAGCTCCTCAGGATTAAGCACTGCCAGGAGTTTGAGCTGGCATGCACATCCTAAGACACACGACTTGATAGCTTTGCATATTCATACATTCATGTAATCCCTTCTTGGAGCCAGATATAGACATCTCTTGGGATCCCATACCATGTGGAAGGAGCAGCAGAGATAAAGGGACAGAGAAAGAGCAGTGTGTGCCAACAAGGGGAAGGGGTCATGGAGGTCTGGAGATCATTTCCTGGAAGATGTGTGATCTGGACCTCAAAAAGCAGTTCTACTGTTCTGCTGTGTTGATTTTAACCATAAAAAAGAATGAGAAAAACCTAATGTTCAGCAGAAGAGTGGATCACACACCATGCAGTAGTCTCAAATGCACTAATAAGGGCCCCACACTGCATGAATCTCAAGGACATAATGAGGGATGGAAAAAACACAGACTGAAGAATGATATGCACAGTGAATGCCACTGATGCAAATTCTGAAGACACACAAACAATGCTATGCTTAGAAATGAATGCGGATGTTTGTGGTCAGACTATCCATAAAAATGCCAGCATTACCTCTGGGGAGGTGGAGGAGGAAGCGGGCCGTAATCTATTCTGTGCAAGCAGCAAAAGGAAGGATATAAGGTAGATATGGTAAGCTCAGCATATGCTCAGTGTGGGTGATCATAGGCCCATGAGTGTTTATTAGACTATTAAATTATGTATAATATACAACAGTATTATATTATATCATTACATTCGTTTCTTTTCATTTGTGCATTATTCTGTAACAAAAAAAGTTCAAAAGTGAAGGAAAATGTAAAAATGGAGGTGGTGTTTGGGACTGGTGTGAGCTAGACACACAGAGATAGGAGAGTGAGGTGCCCTTGAACAGGTTCCACAAGGCAAGGCCAGAGCAGGGCCATGGGGCTGGGCCTTGGAGAGGGTGTGTGTGTCGGGGTGGGGGGAGCACACTATCTTTATCCTGGCTATCTGTCCCCGTCTTCAACTTTGCTGCTTTCACATTCCCCAACCCGACCGCAAAGCAGACCTTGGCTGGATGATTCTTAAGTGGGGGTTTTATTCCTTCCCCTGATGTGTGTGTGTGTGTGTGTGTGTGTGTGTGTGTGTGTGTGTGGGAGAGAGAGAGAGAGAGAGAGAGAGAGAGAGAGAGAGAGAGAGAAAAGGGGGGTCCACATACACCTCAATCACATTCATATACAGCAATTCATTGGCTCTCACAAAATTTGTCAAGGTCAGCATTATCACCATCATCACCACTGTCATTTAAAGATGAAGAAACGGAGGCTCGAGGCTACATAGCTAGTAAGAGGCAGAGCTGGGATTTGAACTCAAGCTGCCTGACACCAGCGCCTGTGTCCTCAACGGAGAACAGTATTGCTGCTCATATGCCATTCTGGGTGCTATGGATTATTCAGTGATGACACAATTGAAAGGAAAAACTAGAGAACTAGTGAGGGAGGGAAACACAAACCAATGGGGTATTTAAGCAGAAACCCACAGGTTGGGAGTTAGCTAAGAGGTTTGGGGGCCATCCAGACAGAGGGAAGATCAAGTGAGAAGATCAGAAATTGGTACAGGCAAGGAACTAACTCATTGAGGGTCAGGACCAGGGCAGAGGGAGCAAACCCTTCCCTGAATAGCCTTTTTCAGATGGGAACGGCATCTATTGGGGCATCCTGTAGTTCAGGCCTGGGGTCCTCCTGTAAATAATAACAACGACCTGCATTGGTTCAGACAATAATAAATCCGAAAGCTACCCTCTGTAGGCTGTGGAAGGCAGGTTTATTTCCAAGTAGTGTGAAAACACCAAGGAACTTGTAGGAGAGCCACACACTCAACTATGATAAATAAAAGTCACTGTGGCCGCTGTAAAAACGCTGCCCCTTTCTCCTCTGTGCTGGTCCAGGCCCTGGGCCAGCTCCAGGGCTTTCAGGCTCAAGGGGTGGGAGGAGTCCCCCGAGAACTGTTGTGCCTCCCTCAGGACTGCAGGGCCCTTGTATGGGAAACTAGTTTACCCTGTAAATGATTATACACAATAGCAACTGTCCTCTTGACAGTTTTCTCATCCTGCCCTTTCCACCTTCCCAGGTCCCCTTCTCCAACCCACTCACAAGAGGAGATTTCAGAAGGGAAAGTCCACAGGGTTCCCACAGTGGGGCCACTGGATGAATGCCTATTGGAGAAAGCAGGGTCTCTGGTGTCTGTTGAGATATACAAGGTGATTGGCCTGGGTCTGCTGCCGGTGAATGAGTGAGAGCATGGGGGTTCGCCCCCTATGTGTCTGTTTCCAGAGATGGGCATCACATACCCATCACATAAACTGGGGGTCGCATAAACTGCTAACCACATGTTACAGAGAGATGTTTGTCTAGATTTCCAAGGAACTAAAAAGCAAGGGCAGAATTTGTAATGGCTACCAAGGGTAAGAATGAACAACCTGTAAAAGGAAACTCAGAAGTACCAAGAAAGAGCCCCTTGCTCTCCCTCTATAACAGTAAGAGACCGGAAGTTCATAAGCGTCCATTGTCAGGTTGTGGGTCATCTAAGCCTTCCAAGAAGGAACTTGCCAGGAGGAAGGAAGACCTAATGTGAGGGGATCACTCACCCAGTGGCAGGACGAAGAAGAAGGGGAACCAGCACAGGACGAAGACTCCCACGACGATGGCCAGCGTCTTGGCAGCCTTTTTCTCGCGGGAAAACTTGAGCAACCTTACAGAGAGCGAGCTGCGCAAGGTGTGGCCCTTGCTACTCTGTGTCCCTTGGGTTCCTTTGGTGCTAGCAGTTGCACCGCGACAGTGGATCCTCAGTACCACCTCGGAGGCCTTGCCAGGCTCCCGCTTGATGCCTGCTTCGAGGCTGCGCGTGGTGCTGCGCGCGACCACGTACACGCGGCAGTACATGACTACGATCACCGCCATGGGCAGGTAGAAGGAGCACACGGATGAAAAGACAGCATAGCCAACTTCCTCGGTGATGCCGCAGAAACGCTCATCCGGGGGCACTGGTTCCTTCCAGCCCAGTAGTGGTCCAACAGACACCACCAGGGCCACCGCCCAGAGCAGAGCCA